ATGGTCCGCGTTACATTTTAGTGAACTATTTATATCTATGATGATGATACGGACATGTTAAATTATGAATCATAAGCTCCTAAACAGAGATCCTGTTATACTGAACTTTTGTGTGCTTTGACGTAATTTTTCATTACAATTGTGCCTATAAATTTGTTCTGTGTCAATCAAATCTATACATATAATAAAATCGTAGAAAAGTCAAAATTGTACACTGAATTTTTTTTTTAAAACAACTTTGGGGTGTGATCTGCAATCGATACCGAAGTCAAAAATATGATTTTTAGAATTTTTGTCTGTTTCTCTGTATGTATATCCGGGATGACTTTAAAACGTACTGCATGGATTTATTTCAAATTTTGCATGAATATTACTAACAAGTCGGGTCAACATATAGGTTAATTACCACACACATAGGTTAATTATCGCCTACGGGACTGAATCAATTCTGACGACATTCATAACCGTAAAATATCCCTTGATAAAAACTAATTCAAAAGCCTGAATTCTGCCAGAAGTCATTATTCTACGCGGACGAAGTCACGGGCAATGGCTAGTAAGATTATAATTTTATTCGAAAAAGGAGACTATTGAGATTTCAGAAAAAAAAACACTCAAACATACTTAATGTAGGTAGCTATCTTACTCAGTTGCCTTTTGGACCTAAGCAATGCATAGCTTAGAAGACGACAGGCCCTGGTATATTTAAACAGTTAAACTGCACTACTACCACCGACCGGACCGCAGTATTCAATCAAACACAAGAACACTACGTCCTAATGTATCACTAATGACAACTGCTTTTAAACGAGAGACCAAATGACTGGCATCAACCAAAGTGATGGCATTAACCTATTAGGAGGTAGTAGGGCCATTATTGTTCTATTCATCTACAGCAAAAAAATTGTAGGCAAAATGGGATGTTGAACTCCATCGTGTTTTCTTTCAAATGGTCGTTTGTGTCGCATTGAGTGACATTTTGTGGTATATTCATAAGTGTATATTATAATTATCATTTGACGCTTTTATTCGTTATGTTCTGTGACGGTAGAGTAGACTACATTCATCACCACAACTACTCTATGGAATTGTATTCGACTCCTAAGTGCCACCTAAAGGATTCTGTAAATTATTTGACAGAATTCAGGCAACAGCATCCTCTGATAAACCTGTACTGTGATCTCTAACCAGAGGGGTTACGAGTTAGTTTTTTTACGTGTGGTTTAACTCGTCGAGTACCGTATTTATAGACACAATTAAAGAACAATAGGTCGCGGTCACCGGTGACCGCTTGGTGTTTGACAGTTTAAAGTGACTGTGTTCGGCGCTCTGATTGGCCAGCTCCAACAAACCAACCAATGAGAACGCCGAACGCGGTCTCCCCAGCTTGATAACCGCCTTTAATCCAGCAGCAGATTGTCAAAGACTGGATTTTGTTTATTAAGTGTTATTACATAGAGTGCACAGCCACGTCGTAAAATAACTGCTGCATTGAATAACCAATAATTTTCTAACGAAATTTGTGATAATTTTCTATTCGACCTCGAAATTGGACAAGATATCAACAATGCTTTTATGATTTCTTTAGCTTGACGATTGAATGATTTTATAGAACATTTTAAATTCCTCATTAACTTAAGTACAAATATTAAATAATAACAAAATAAAAAAAATCTTTGATCTATTTTATTACAATAGTTAACCACCCACTAGGATACCCTGCTTTTCCTTTTCTACTCTCGCCTTTACGGAATTAGTTCTTAATTGAAGTGATTATCAGTAAAATAAAAGCGGTCATTTTTCAAAAAATTCTTGATAATATCGTTATTATAGTGTAACACCTACGTTGTTCCCTATTCGTTCATCAAATGCATTGAACGACCTTTTCCAATCAATTAATTCCGAAGCCAGGTAACTTGTGTAAAAAAGGATCTATGCATATACAGGCTGGTCGAAAAATATTTAATTTTTTGGGTACAGTTGATCTTTGTTGCAGTGAGTTACAGATTATGTTTCAGTCTAAATTGAAGGAAGTACTAATCGTTGCTTTTTGAATTAAAGTACGTAGACATATTCAAGACCTGTTTTTGAAATATCAAAAACGATAGTTTTGTATTAATTTATATATAAGATCACACCTTACAGTGCCATAATATTTTAATGTCAAATAGTTACACAATAATTAAGATAACACAATTATCGTCCAAATAATTAATAAAAAAAGTGAAATATAATTCTAAAATATAGTTTTGGTTCAGAATTGTAAAAATTTTAAGGAGTAAAATTTAAACCACCTGTATCGAATAGAGCTCCGAATCAAAACAAGAAAGCGCCACGTAAACTGGCCGAGTGAATGCACTTGACACCGTAATAAATAGAAGGCACGGTAACAAAGGGCGGCTAGAGGTGTTCTGCCGCCGCCGACCTAAAGCGGTAAGCCGATTGTCATCCACCTAGCAGTAATCTGTTTTTGTTGCATTGCCGATACAACATACTCTATACGCTTTTTATACTTTCCCGTTTTTGAAATGTCATCTTTTGATACATACTTACTGTATTTTTTATGAGAAGCATTATTTTTTTTATTCACGCGCGTTAAATTATTCAGTTTAATGCAATATTCGAAGAAACGATTATCTAGCTACGTTAAATAACTAATCACTGTCGTGATTTATCAATATTTTGATTCTTTTTATAGGATGCTGGATGAAAGAGTAAGAATTCTTTTAAGATTAGAGGCGGCAGTAATCCCCTCTTTATATTAATATTAACCGCTTAACTTTGTGCTATGTGATCCTGTTGACAGGGAACAACAATAAATACTAACCGACAACGATCTCGCAGTCAATAGGTATGATTGGTCGGAGTACATTTTATATCTCAAAATGAATAAATATTATAATGATTTATTGCACAACATTTTATAATCTCATTTATCTAACCAGTAAATGTACTATTAGGGTACATACTATCGACTTATGTTATCGCTTCGTGACTTATCAATATAACAATTTGTATATATTTATTTTAAATTCTCTATAAATTACATTTTTAAATACTAATTACAAAAAATATATATATATATATATATAAAAATATAAAAAATAGGAGCCGACCAGTAGCGGGAGCATGGTCCAAGCTACCGGTGGTTAGGGCCCCAGAGACAGAAACCTCCTCACGATACGTGCCGTTTCTAAGAGAACTGCCTTCTGTATCAGGCCCTTGATCCATCCACCTAACACCAGCCTCCTGAGATGGATGTCGAGGCTTTTAGGGATTAACCCATTGGCCGACACGACTATCGGCACAATGATAGCCGAATCCACACTCCACATGTCGACAACCTCGTGAGCTAAGTCTAGATATTTTATTCAACATAGCATAACATCACGCCTTTTATCCCCGAAGGGGTAGGCAGACGTGCACATTATGCCACTGTACAATGTAACACCCACTTTTCACTATTTATGTTATGAGTCCCATAAACCCAGTAATACTTTGCCCGACCCGGGGATCGAACCCGAGACCCCTTGCCCGGCAGTCACACTTGCGACCACTCGGCCAACGAGGCAGTCAACATTTTATCAACATTTTATTCAAATAACAATTATTATTATTATAATAATTTTAACTCGAATTACTTCCGTACTTGCAACACATTTGGTTTTCCCCGGAGGAGGACAGTAAGTCAGTTACTCTTAGTTGAGGCCTCGATCACTCGGGTCGAGCACATACTCCTATATACCTAATGGCCTCAATTCCAGCCTTCATATTTACCAATTATCGTACTTATTTGTATATGATTTCAAAATTCAGTTGATCTATTAGTTTCAATAAAATCGGTTGCATAAATTTAATAAGATTTATATATTCTAACATTATTCGTTTTTACAAATAATATCCATAAATATGTAAATCGTAATATTGAAGATAAAAATCAGCATTGAAACTGTCGTAAAATAGAGCAGTTACCAACTCCTATTATGTCTCATTTATTTAAAGCGTGTGCGCTATCACCTATCTTATCATATATTTCAAAATTCATCTTCCTTTTACAGGAGAAACTACTACTTTACTTTTTTTAGTTTTGTTCGATACGTAGCTATCTATAATGTATAAAAGTAATATTACAGTAGAAACTCGATTAACTGGACTAATTATTGTCGGTAGGCATTCGGATAATCGAAAATCCGGATAATCGAATGTACTAAGAAAAGCGGGTTTTGTGCATACATATGTTGTACTGTTGTACATACATACGATGTTATGTATGTTATTTATTAAAAACAACAAATACAGTACAAGTATATTTTTCGTTTTCTTCATCATTTTCCGATGTGTACTCCCGTCTTCACTATCTAATTTGCAGGTGTACAACAAAATTTAATCAGTATTCTTCTTTATATCATGGCGTATTGGTGGATGTACCTACACCATACTGATTAGCTAACTTACAACCGGTTTCTCCTTTTTTAATGAATTAATAATATTTATTTTGTCTTTAAGCGATAACACCACTCTCGTACATTTTGACATTTTTAAATATGTAGACGTAATACAAGTCAGAGGCCTTAGTACGAGTTTCTTTTTCGTTTAAAGTAATCAAAACGAGACGGCGTTCTGTGCTCTGATTGGTTGCTTCATTAGAGCGCCGGACGCGTACTCGTTACGATTACTTTAAATGAAAAAGAAACTCGTACTAAGGCCTCTGATCGGAGGAACAACAGCTAGCTAACTAAAACAATAACGAAACGTGCGGGGCAGCGATCGCGCAGGGCATAAATTTGACTTGTAGGTAATTTTAATATAATGAGTCGGTAGTCCGGATAATCGCGAATCCGTATAACTGAGAGCCGGATAATCGAGTTTCTATTGTACTATAAAATTATTCAACTACTTCACGAACAGTAAACTAAAAAGAAACCGTCTGTGGGAAGATTTCAATAATATACTAAGTTCGAATTGTAATCCTGTATTATATATAATTCGTCATTTACATTTTATTGGGAATCACTGTCGCTACCAGAGTAGTTTGCTAGCAACGAGAGTCCTGAGGCCGGTGTTGTCACTTTACTTGTTACGTCAGTACTTACTGTAGTCGTCGGAACACTTGAATCAGTATCCTTCTTACTTTTCACTAAGTTCGATAACGTCGACTTCTTAGATAACACTCCTATACTTTTGTTCCAAGATTCTGCCTTTTTCACATTGCTCGTTCGCTGAGGTATTATTTCTATTCTAGAAGTCTTGGCTGGTGGTCCACTGTCGTCTTCATCTTTCACTTCTTCAATTATTTCCTCTGCTATCACCTTTTTCGCTGATGGATTGTTGAATTTGATTGATCTGGAAATGATATAATGGTTTATAGAGATGCAATTTATTAAAGCAGACAGCAGGAAACATGGAATGTTTAGTATGTCTATAAAATATACCTAACTAGCGACCCGCCCCGGCTTCGCACGTGTGCAATATGCATGTATTATTCATATAAACCTTCTTTAAGAATCACTCTATCTATTAAAAAAAACCGCATCAAAATCCGTTACGTAGTTTTAAAGATCTAAGCATACATATAACGACTTTGTTTTATACTATGTAGTGATATTAAGGTGTTTACTATTTTATTATGGTTCATTCCTGTGATTAAGTTATAATTTGTGGCAATCTTGTAGCACCAATTTCTAACCTTTAAGTGGGTGGGTTACCTATCAGTACATGTGGCTAATAATAATTATTATTATGTAGTTATTACTTTGTAGTTCTTTTAAATTTAGTGCAAGGCTATACAGACCAGTTATACTACTTATAACCCAAATGAGTGCAAAGTTCTCATCAATACAAATATATTAAATCCGAACACCAGGTAGCTACTGTTCCATTGAGGAATTCCCTAAGATATCATACTACTTCATCATCAGGCCCCTAATAACAAGTAAAACTTCCTTGTGCGTACTGCCAAGGAGTAGTATTCTTTGCTGGAGTCTGTGTTTCCTTAAGAGATTTTTCCAGGACCAGACAGATCACCTGATGGTAAGCAATCGGCGTCGCCCATAGACACCTGGAACGCCAGAGGCGTTACAAGTGCGTTACCGGTACCCGCCTTTTTAGGATTAGGAGTTTGAGGATTGTTGGGGATTCATGGATTTGGAGAGATTAGGACAGGGAGGGGTGGAGGTAATTGGTCTCCGGTAACGTCACTCATATGACGAAACACAACGCAAACATTGCTTCACGTCAGTTTTCTGTGGGGCCGTGGTATCACTCTGGTTGAGCCGACCCATTCGTGCCGAAGCATGGCTCTCCCACACTTAAAAGGGCAGACGTGTTCCATCGTAAGCCGCATCATCGCTTACCACCGGGCGAAATAGTGGCCAAACGTCGTGCCATCAAAATAAAAAAAATCACGCCTAAGCTTATAGGGTAAAAATTAATCAAATCTAATAGTCGAGTAAAAATGGATAATAACTCCAGTATTTACCCATTTTCATTTAATTATCCGAAATAATGCCTATCTCTTCTCTACTTATAATATTTATGTATCAGAATCCAGAGTTTAAAGTTAGTAGTAGTTCTTATTTTGCATTCAATATTAGGAATACATATTTTAATGTTGTAGGTACAACTTTGTACAAGTTTGTATTTACATACTTAATAAACTCATCATCTTCCTTCTCCTCCCGGGCTCTCCTTTCGTCTGATGTCTCCGGTTGGTATTGTTTGAGCATCCCCTCAAAGTCCACTGCATGCTGTCTTCTATTTAGTTCCTTCAGTTCTTCTAATCCCTCTAGAGTCTCTATCTCTTGTTTTGATTGTTCTGTCCTGTATTCTGAAATTAATTACAATTCTAATTTTAAAACTGTAATTCGAACTTGGTTAGTATTTCTTTTTTGTATAATAAAGTTGGTTACAACTTTATATTTCATAATCACTTAACTGTGGTAATTTAGCTTGAATTCTGTTATCATTATTATTAATATTGTATCTATAAACGCATATTGTGCCGGTACGCAGATCTATGTAAGACAAAATGAGTTTTATGTCGTGTCTCTCATATAAGAAGTTGAGCTAAACTGTTCATTGGTATAAGTATTTATTTTTGTTGAATTAATTTAAATTTACATATGCACTATAATTTAAATTTACATATGCACTATAACTGCCTCGTTGGCCGAGTGGTCCCATGTGCGACTGCCGGACAAAGGGTCTTGGGTTCGATTCCCGGGTCGGGCAAACTGGGTTTTTAAAAAATTCTCAGTAGTACCATGGGGCCTGGAATTGTGTCCGGTATATGGCAATTGGGTCACCCTCTATAACATGGGACTCATAACATAAATAGTGAAAAGTGGATGTTACATTGTACAGTGGCATAATGTGCACCTCTGCCTACACTTTCGGGGATAAAAGGTGTGATGTTATGTTATGTTATGCACTATAAATAATTAAATCAATGCTATGTTTTACATTACTGTTAAACTTTGGTGAAGGTGGTGATGTTTCAAGCCATGTGAGGAACTCATAGAAACACAAGACGTCACGATTATCAACATGCGAATATCATGCAGACTGCTCAGAGGATTATAAATTAGCATTGTAATAGAGAGTACCTTTCAATCAAACTCTTAGTAAAATAACTCAAACATATTCATACCAAGAAGCTTCATAGGGTTATTAGCTTCTTCCTCCTTTTGCTCCTCTTCCTCACGCTTAGCTTGCTCCTCGGCTAGTTTCAGAGCCATGAAGTTCCTCGTGGCACCTGCCTCTATCTCATAGTCTGTGTTCTTTGGGTCTGTCTTGAATGAAATTTCTTGAAGACATCTGGTACACTGGAAAAATAATGTTACCATGATAATTATTTTGATAACTATTATCATAAAACAGTACTTTTGAGAACTGAAGTTTTAATTATGTCAAACATTAATACAACATAATATTTACATACATATTCGTAGGACATACAGCATAAAATGCTTGTTATGCTCAAACTCAAAATCTTTATTTGCATGTTAAGGTAATACATACAGGTCTTATGAAATAACAGGCACAGCTTTACGGCCTTTTTCAGGCGTTGCAAATTTTAGGGGTGTCACCAGCTTATTATAAATTACATTTTGGTTAACATTTTTTTTTATATAATTATTTGTTCGGAATATAGGTAAGTACATAAGGTATATAATATATTACTGCTGTTACTATACAAACTTAAACTTACCAAAGGTTGAATATCACACACTTAAGATTACAAATGATAATTAATTAATGATTATTATGTTTGATTTAAGCTGTATCGACTGTGTTTTTAAGAGATATTTAGACTTTAAAATTACAACCAATAAATCTAAATACTTTAATGTGGTTGAAGGCAACCAAACGTGCAATATCAAGGAAAGAACAACTTACTTTGATATAAAACCTATAAATTCTGATACCTAGGTAGTCCTCATTTTCAACATCCTCTTTTCTGGCGTTGAACTTCTTTCCTTTGTAAATGTACTCGCCACAAGTTGCACATCGCATGTTGAAAGGTGCCATCAATCGTACAGTGTATTGACGATTTTTGGCTAATTTCATGCGAGGGATCTTCGAAGGATCGAAATCCGGAGGATAGTATTTCTGTAAACATGTTCACAATAATTTTTAAAACTGTCATGTACAATTAATCTAATACCACTCACTTTACCCATATTTCTGACGAATCATGTTATGTTCTACTTACGTTTAATACTTTTCTTTCCGACATTTTTAGGTGTTATAATTATTTATATTTTATAAGTAAACAGGCACGATCAAGTTCCACGAAATAAACTTCACTTCAGTAGCTTATTGTCAGTGTCAGACTGACAGTGGTATTTAAAAGTGCGTTTAGTTAACATCAATTGACATAGAGTACGAAAAATTAATAATAGCGCTATGAAAATGAAAAAAATACAATGTATACGCAAGGCATATAAAAGTCGGAATTAAAAAACAAAAGTTGGGTAACTATTCATAAATAAGGCTACACAAATTTTTCACCTACCTAAACGTAGTCACGTCGCACCACCCAATACCAGAAGTAAAGTACCTACTCTTTGAGAGTAGGCTCTATACTCTATCTATAGACACCAATAGAAGTACTTACATCCTTTGAGAAGCATCTTAAGAGGCTTATCAACAATAATGCCGTTGTGGAGCTGCTCCAAAGCCTCAAATATAGGTGCAAAGTTGCAAGCCTTTTGAGCTTTTAGTGGATATATTTTCTATGTGACTTGATTCCCCCTGTCCATTTCACCATGGTACCACCAGACAAATAGAGAAGAAGAATGCCCTGAGGGCTTAGTACGAGTTTCTTTTTCGTTTAAAGTAATCGAAACAAAACCTCGTCTGGCGTTCTGATTGGTTGGTTCATTAGAGCCGGCCAATCACAGGGCCGAACGCGCACTCGTTTCGATCGAAACGAACTTGTAGAATACTAAGTTTGTTTTACGTTTATAGTAATCGAAAGTAGTTGGGTAAGTAACTAGACCGCGTTCGGCGCTTTGATTGGCCAGCTTCAATGAACCAACTAATCTAAGCGCCGAACGCAGTCTCGTATACTAAGCCCTCATATCTCTATGGATCTGCCTCCGTGGAAAAGTCAGTTCTCCCGCCTTGGCTTAAGTTAGGTTAGTCAGACTCTTACTGACTAAAAACCGCCCCATTCCTACTCCTGCTCTTCGAGCCGGTGCCCCGGCAACCCGTTAGGCCTTCCGCGGCTCCGTAAAACAATGGATTCTTTTTCTTTCGTTAATAAACATAAATCGAATAACTACAAAGATTTTGTATTGATATTGGTTTTAATTTCTGCCGTTATGACGCATTGTAGAACTAGATGCAAACTAGCGAAGTGACGTAGATCACAGCGTCACGCAAATCTATCAATAGGTTTTTTTTAAGGGGGTAAAGTCATCCAATGCGGGGGGGAGTGTCAGACTCTTACTGACTAAAAACCACCCCGTTCCTTCTCCTGCACGTCGAGCCGGAGCCCCGGTTACCCGTTAGGTTCTCCGCGACATCAATAGGTATAATAAAAGCTGTTTATGCTTGAAATTTTTATTTACCTTTCGCCTTCTTGGTGAAACAAAAACTATAATTATATGATTATATACATAGGTATATTCAAATATGCATCATCATCATCACTTATCCTTAAATTTTAATTCTTTGTGGTGACTTAATATTAATTACCTATACTAAAATTAAAATTTAAAAACGAATGGCAAATCATTCATTTAAGTAAATAATATATTATTATACAATGTATATAATAATGAAGTCAGAGCATAATAATAAACTGTAACAATATGTTAGAAACATTGTTAACAAGACCTGACAGAGTCCAAACAGATCTCTAATAATTATTAGAGAAGGTACCTAATTAATTAATTAATTAGCAAAATTTTTAAAAAATGAAGTTGGATACTCACAAATATTCATTGAAAATAGAAGACTCACAATAACAGGATTTTTACATTGTATATGGTACTTATTCTACATATCATTGACACAAGTTTTACATACACAATAGATTTGTCTTCAATTGTAAATATTAAACAAAACAACTACACACTATCAGTACAGTATTACTAATATGATTAAAACCTCTTTTAAAATGATTTAAAGCATGAGGTTGTACCTATTGAGATAATCATGATGGTGATATTTCATATTATGAGAGGGTCAGGTACCAGACCTACTTCTCTACCCAAAGAATCTTAATTTTATTAGGTTTAAGAGGAAAATCACCTAATTTTCTGATTACAACTGTTAATTTAAATTGTGATTTTATAGAATCAGATAAAAAGTATTTGAAAGGTACTCCATTGACTTCCTCCTCAATAGATAAACAATGAATAGCTCGCATTGGTACATCATAGTATTCTTTGTCAAGCACAGGCTTAAGGCAAGAGAACTTGCTTTCTATGTTTGTTCCTTTGTCTACAAGGAATAGGGTTGCAGTATGTTCCTTGTCGTTAACAGCCTTTATAATGGCACGTTCAAAACAGTTTCTATTAATTTCCACAGCACATGGTTCTCCTATAACCATATTGAGATGGTCCGTAGATTTATCTTTACAATATGCTGACACATCAATATTCTCTTTTGATTGATCACTTTCACTAATTTCAGAAAAATAGAAGTTATTTATAGAGTCTCCTCCAACCACTTTGCCCAACAAGATATCTCCTACACATAACTTTTTAGGTTTATAATTTAATACAAGTGTCACTTTACTTTTTGTTGATGAATAAGTCTGATTTACTTTTCTTGGTTTTGAGAACACTGTTAAGTCATATAACACCAACAGGTGAGACAAATCATAAACAGAACCTAAAGGCATTATTTCAACCACTAGAGCATCTTTAGTTTTATTAACTACATGCATCATTGCTGGACCATCAGCAAAGAATAAATTCATTTTTTCTTGAATATCTGGTTCAAAATCATCTCCTTTAGGTTCGCATATGTGTAACTGACAGTGAACAGCCAATCCAGGACAATTTGAATCCGGGATCTTTAAGTTAAGAGGATGTATATTTTTAATCTTCACACCAGTATCCATGCAACCATAATCAATTGCAAATATATCACATGTGGGATTTTCTTCTTCCCTTATGCGACATATTCTTCCTCTAACCAGTTTACCAAGTGTTTTAGACTTATAAATTATTCTTTGATTGTTAACTGGAGTATGAACTGCATCTCTTCCTGGAGTTTCAATGGCTCTAATATCTTTATAAATAGCAGAGCGAACATAAATATTTTTTGGATTAGTAAAATGTGTTATTACAACTCTGTACTCATGACCAATGTGATATTCTACTGGTTCTAGCATGGCCATGATCGAAGAAGTATAATAATTCTGAAATAACAGAAAGAAAACAAAACTTTTAAAACAATAATACAGATTTATAGGCAGTTTAGAGAATAGCTATTATTATTTATTATATTACAACACTTACACATTGAGGCTAAAACCGATCAAATAATTTGCAGTAATTTAATTTTAGTAAATGTACTTGATTCAAGAAAAACAACAAGGCAACAAGGCCTACCTCAGCTACGATAAACTTATCATAATTAAAAATAAAGAACAACTTCCTCGTAGTCAAACAAATAAAAGAAACCTGTCTGAATCACCTGAACTAACACATACAAAAAACCAAGTAGTCAAAAGAGACCAAAAGCAGTCTTATAAAAAGAACAAGATATCAAATCTAAGAGATTTTATTATACAAAAACCAAAACCTAACCATATTCCCGTTGTTGATTCTCAGGATCAGCCTGAAAACAAAGAAAATAGCACGCACAATAGTGACAAAAAATAACAATTAACAACGGCCCCTCCTGCCTTTCATCTCCCATTACGGTTGGTCACCGCGGGAGAGTTCGACCAAAACCCTCCAGAAAACTCTACTAATAACAAACACACCAAAATAGATTTATTCCAAGTGGCAACATACAATGTAAGAACTTTATCAACAAGTCACAGACTAATGGAGTTGATGGACTCCTTGAAAGACATAGAATATGACGTAATCGGTCTTTCTGAAATCCGGCGTATAGGCACATCAATTCAAGAGCACAATGATTGTATATTTTGCTATACGGGGGAAACACGAGGACTGTATGGCGTGGGTTTCATCGTTAAGAAGTATCTCAAAAGAAACATCGTCAGTTTCGAAGGATTATCAGAGCGAGTAGCTATTCTAAAACTAAATATAAATGATTTTCAACTAGACATACTACAGGTCTATGCACCAACTGAGGCTTCAAGTGAAGAAGATGTAGAATCTTTCTATAGTACAATTAATAAGGCTCTAAAAAGCTCTGGTAGGAACATTGTGGTTATGGGTGACTTTAACTCAAAAATTGGTCACCCTAGGCCAGAAGAAAACCTTGTAACAAAAAATCATGGATATGGTATAAGGAATGGTAGGGGTGAGCGCCTGATGGATTTCGCATACGAGAACAAACTGAGCATTATGAATACCTTTTATAAAAAACCTAAAAATCAAAGATGGACCTGGAGATCCCCAGATGGAAACACGAAGAATGAAATTGACTACATATTAACAAATCTAGACAAAAATGTTCTAAATGTACAAGTTTTAAATGTCAACTTCCCCACTGATCACAGACTTTTGAGAGCTTCTTTTATACTACGAAAAGTTAAGAAAAGCCGTACAAAATTCACCAACTGTCTAAGAAATTCATTAAAAAACGAATCCGAAATATCTACATACAAACTATCTCTGGAAAAGCACGAAGACCTACTGCAATATCGAGAGGACGTCACAATACAGGCCAACTACGATAATATAATTCGAGGCTTGGAAAGTAGTCTACATATACCACAAAATGCAGGAAAAGACACGACTAAACCTAGTGCGATTTCCGCCTACACCAGGAAACTAATGGATAGAAGAAAACAACTACATATTATCAAACCTAAAACAAGATCAGAGAAAAATGAACTAAAAGCACTATATAAACTCATAAGTAAGAACATTAAGAGAGACTACATGCTTCACCGATTGAAAACCATCGAGAAACATATAAAAACTACTGGCAGCATTAAAAAAGCATACAGGGAGCTAAACACTCACAAATTATGGATCAAGGAATTAAAAGAGACTGACAAACTATCACATAACAGGATCGATATTATGAAAACCGCAACAAATTTCTACAAAAAACTATATAATTGTCAAACCTCAAACTCCTCAAATATTTACGATGCCACCAACATCCAGACACAATTACCACAATTACCTGCTAAAAACGGCCCACAAATAAAAACGATAGATGCGATGGAAGTTATAGAAGGAATAAAGAGACTGAAATTAGAAAAATGTCCAGGCCCTGACGGAATTACTAACGAGGCAATAAGAATAGGCTGTAAGCATCTGGTACTTCCTCTGACACATCTCTTCAACTCTATACTAGATTCGGGCATCACGCCTTTTCAATGGTCGGAGTCGAACATGATTCTACTCTACAAGAAAGGAGATCCCACGAATATAAGCAACTATCGCCCTATCAGTCTGTTGCCCACACTCTACAAACTCTTTTCATCGATAATCGAAAAGAGGATCAGTGAGACTCTTGAGGAACACCAACCGATAGAACAAGCTGGTTTTAGGAGGGGATATTCTACAATAGATCACATCCATGCGATAGAACAAATAATCGAGAAATATACTGAATATCAGAAACCACTGTACGTGGTGTTCATCGATTACCAGAAAGCCTTTGACACAATTCGACACTCCTCTATATGGACCGCCTAAGATCACAAAACGTTGAACAGAAATATATAAAAGTCATAGAATATTTGTACAACAACTGCACAAGTAGAATTAAACTTGAAACAATGGGTCCACGGATACCCATAAAGAGAGGTGTAAGACAAGGCGACCCGCTATCTCCAAAACTTTTTATAGCCGTACTAGAGATGGTCTTCAGCAAACTTAACTGGGATAGAACAGGGCTAAACATTAGCGGCAAGTTTATCAGTCATCTTAGATTTGCCGATGATATTATTCTACTATCCGAGAGTGCTGAGGAGATGGAATCAATGTTACACTCACTAAAAACTATGAGCTACGAAGTAGGCTTGGAAATGAATCTAAATAAAACAAAAATTATGTCCAACAGCAAAAAACACCCGGTATATCTTGATCAAATACCATTAGAATACGTAGACAGTTACATTTATCTAGGCAAACAAGTATCCTTCGGAAAACAAAGTAACGAACTGGAAGTTGAAAGAAGAATCTTAAGCGCATGGAAAAAATTCTGGAGCTTTAAAGAAATATTAAAAGGATCAACGCCTATGAATTTAAAGAAAAAACTGATGGATACATGCCTGCTCCCCTCTATCACCTACGGTTGTCAAACATGGAAATACACCCTAGGCGTAAGAAATAAGATCAGAACCTGCCAAAGATCTATGGAAAGAAGTATTACAAATATTAGAAAAATACAAAAAATCCCACACAATATCATACGGGAAAAGACTAAACTGATAGATGTCCTAAACTTCTCACAAAAGTTAAAATGGCGTTGGGCTGGCCACGTAGCTAGGTTGAGCGATGACCGTTGGACCTACAGACTGACATTATGGCGGGGTCCCAGAGGTATCAAAAGAGAGGTAGACCTATAACTCGTTGGGATAACGATATTATAAAAATAGCTGGTGAAAAGTGGAAGACAATTGCCAAAGATAGGGATATATGGAAAAGTCTGGAGGAGGCCTTCACCCTCACATAAGAGGGGTTCTTGCATGCTTGCATGATGTTTATTATAATTTATTATATTTTATACACCTTGTAGATTGAATATTCTTGTAATTTGATTATTATAAATGTCGTAAAATTGAATTTATTATAATTATTTTAAATTTTAAATGTGTAATTAAATTTATATAAAAGTAATTTTAAATCAATAATGGAATTCATGTAATGATGATTCTCATAACTTTTATAATTATTAATATGGAATATAAATAATTTTACATTAAGAAACCATTATTTAATCATTTTTAATTTTTCATGTTTCTTTTGTTATGTTATGTTTTTCATGTTAAGTAATTTTGCAAGAAATAAAAGGCTTTTTATTTATTATTATTATTTATAAATGTACTTACTTTTTTTATTTAATAATTCGGTTCACTTTAAATCAGAGAATGTTTTTTTTTTTTTTTTTTTTTTTTCTTCTATGGCAATTGAGTCTCCACTATTTAGTAGTTGACTATTCTGCCAGCGTCATGTGTTACGGCAGGTGTGGGCATTACAGATTATATATATAAATAGAAAAGGGACAAAAAATGGCATTGACATTTAAATTTAAAGCACATTCACTATATTATATTAGGTACTCTCATTATATATTAGATTTTAATATTATTTTTAATAATGAATTTTGCCAAAAGGTTAATGAGTTTAGGATAAAAATTGGTTAATAGTGAGCGAAAATTAATTGGGAGGGGAATTTTAATATTAGGGAGTTCTCTATAGAGGTCTAGATATTGGGAGTTTATGGAGCAAGAAAAAAATATATGTTCGAGGGTACCCTCATCAAGACCACATTCGCATACAGAGTTGTCACGAATGTGAATCTTGTACAAAAAACTGGACTACTGCAGTGGCCGAGTCTAAGTCTACACAAGGACGTGACTGCTTGTTTTGGGATTTTACGAAATTTAAAAAACCAAGGTTTCCTCTGGATGCTAGGTTGGACGGAAGCGTAGTAAGCTCCTTTACGCTGTGAGGTACTTTTCCATATTGAAGACCACGTGTCATAGAGCTTTCGCTTTGTGTCGGCTCGGATATCATAGCCGGGTATAACAAAATGATGGCGTTCCACATCACCTGACGTAGCAAACTTAGCCAACGCATCAGCACATTCATTTCCGCGTATGCCAGAGTGGCCAGGGATCCAAACTATTTCGATATTAAGCCCTTCATTATGACAACACCAAAGGAGGTGTTTAATATCTACAACTAGCTGGCTATGGATTTTGGTGTGTAACTGATTTTGACCTAAAGATTGAATACTACTACGGGAATCTGAAAAAATTACAGAATTTTTAATATTATGACTTCTAATAAATTTCACAGCTTCCAAGATTGCAACGCATTCTCCCGTGAAAACTGAAGCCTCTGGCGGACACTTAAAAAGCATAGTTATTCTGGAGTTCTGAAAATATGTTGCCACCCCTGTACAACCCTCTTGAGTCAACTTTGACGCATCAGTGTAGAACACATTCCAGCCCTTCCAATACACTTCCAGTGCCCGCTCAAAGTTTCCAACAATGTTTGCCGAAGATTTTGAAAG